GAAATTATTTGGCTTTCACCCTTATAGAGGTGATTTTGCAAAATACCAGTCTAAAGAAAGCCTTCTTATAACATAAAGTGACAGAAACAGCAAATAAGATGAATTAGATTAGGAGTTTTCATAGGTGCTCAGTATGCTTTTGTTAGCACATGTAGTAACAAAACAGGAAGACTAAAATGAAATATTACTTCTTTAAAACCAACATAGGCACTGCTAGAGGTAAGTCATCAGAAAGTCCTGTTCTAATGAATAATCAGCAAGAGTAACTCTTTGGTGATGTTCTTCCTTGAGATTCAATGGTACTTTCTTGATTCCTTTATGGTAGAGGTGGGAAACGATGGCCCCTTTAGGACTTGTGGACTTCAACGCCCAGAATTCATGCATTCATGCATGGCTAGGTCAGGAATTCTGGGAGTTGAAGTCCACAAGTCCTAAACGGGCCATCGTTCCCCACCCCTGCTTTACAGGCAAAGCCAACTCAAATAGTAAAACAAAGATGTTTGCTCTGTTTAATATGCCCAGGTGGGAGGATTGCCTATGAGAAGGAAAGAGCCTTATTCAATCCAACCATTAAATATTTGAGATGGCAAATGAAGTGAGGAAATCAGGAAAGAAGAAAGGAACATTGGCTCCATCTGGTAGTTTGCGCTAATGTATGCCCTGGCTTCTGGTTATGTCATGGCTGATCAGCCTTTTTTTGCCACCACGGATTACACCTTTTTTATGTTTGGCCTGCAGGGGGGGCCAATCTCGATGGGGCGGGCGAGGCATCATTTTTGAGGAGGGTTAAGGGTGGATGAGGGACGCGGTGGCTCAGGGGCTAAGACGTTTGACGATCAGAAAGGTCGGCAATTCAGCGGTTCAAATCGCTAGCGCCACGTAACGGAGTGAGCTCCCGTTACTTGTCCCAGCTTCTGCCAACCTAGCAGTTCGAAAGCACACACAAAATGCAAGTAGAAAAATAGGAACCACCTTTGGTGGGAAAGTAACAGCGTTCCGTCCGCCTTCGGCATTTAGTCATGCGCATTGGGAGGAAACGGTGAATGTCTGTTCTGTTCATGGGCCTGAATGCTTGCTTGGCAGATTTCTCCCCAGGGAAGGGAGATTCTAGGATCCGAATCACTCGAAGATGTTCAAAAGGCAGTGCGGCTAAGTTTCTCAGGGGTTTTTGGCCGTTGGTTTCTGGTACTTCCTTCTAAATTAAGTGTAAATTTCAACCTCGGCCACTTTAAAATGGTGGACTTCAACTCCCAAAATTCCCTAGGGACTTTTGGGAGTTCAAGTCCACCCATCTAAAAGTTGCTGAGGGTGAAAAACCTTGCTCTAAAAGCATAGCAGGCTGGAGGGGAGCGGGATGTGCTAAAAATTATACACATAATGGTGACGTTCCTGGGTGAGCATTTAAAAAGAGGATGTGTAGACCGACCAAAAATCTCTGTCAGGCATTGTTTGCAAAGATGTCCTGGCTAAATCCTTTGACCAGCCAATAGAAATGCATTACATTTTAAAGAGACATCATTTACCATATTTTTGGAGTATAAGACGCACCTTCCCCACCCTAAGAGTGGGTGAAAANAAATAAGCATGTGGCCTTATTTTCAGGGAGGTCCAATTATTTTTGAAGTGCAGGCGGCAGTGAGCGTGGTCACTTCATGGCTTCTGCTGTGTTGCATTATTTTCGGGGAGGGCTTATTATCCAGAGAGGTCTTATTTTGGGGAAAACAGGATAGCTATCTCTAAATCTTGAGTCAACATTTTTTGAGTTAGAGTTTATTGGTGGTTGAAGGTGGGTGTAATGTTTCCCAAAGCATAGAACATAGATGTTTTACAAGGTGGGCATTGGAACATTTCTTCCTTAACTTTGTGTGCCAGCCTTTCAAAGACCGATACATGAAGGACTTTCTTTGCCTATCTCTAGAACTGCTGGAATCTTTGTAGGCAACACTTTTGTCAAAGAACATTCACCGTTTCTTCTGTTTTTAAATGTTACTGGGTTTCTCTCTACAGAGGGCAATTTCTTTGTCTGCTAGCTTAGTTTACAGTATGGTACTTCTGGGATGTTTGTGCTGTTATGCGATCAGTTTTCTTAACCTTATTTTGTACTAGCTGGATACCTGTGCTTCTCTACGAAACTTATGTGATCGGGCTTGATTAGAACAGAGTTCTATTCAGTTGGGGAGGGGGAGTAGAATGTCTACACTCCCAGCCTGCAGGCTGGATGAGTCACGTACTGGCCATGCCCACTCCCGGTTTAGCAAAGGGAGAGGGAGTAGAACATCTAGCTCCTTAGCATCAGAGTGTGTTAATATAACGCAACTGGAAGTTGGAACAGAGTTCATTTCAGGTGGGGAGGGGAAGTAGAACTCCTTAGGATCAGAGCATGTTAATATAATACTATATATGAAATACTAATGATCAGATGGTCATTTAAAAAAAAACCTCTTTTAGCGAGCCTCTAGAACCCAATAGGAGCCTGAGTGCCAAATTTCAAGTTTGTAGGATTTACAGTTCTGGAGATTTTGTGATGAGTGAGTGGTATTTGGCACACACACACACACACACACACACACACACACACACACACACCACATATATTATCTTAAAGAAAATCAAAGACCCATGCCCTTGTCCTACTTTAACTTGAAAGTAAGGTCAGTGAATTTTATTTGGACACAACTAGCCCTCGGTAAAAACAAATCTTCAGTCATTCACTCACCTGGAACCCAAACCTCTTGAGCTTGCTGGGACTGGGTTCAAGACAGATACTTTAAAAAGTTGGATCTGGCTGCCTGCTGTCTCCTGTGTGGGAAAAGATGCCCAATGAGAGCATCCAAGCTACGAAATTATTTGGCTTTCACCCTTATAGAGGTGATTTTGCAAAATACCAGTCTAAAGAAAGCCTTCTTATAACATAAAGTGACAGAAACAGCAAATAAGATGAATTAGA